CGCAACGCAACTACCCACTCAAGCAGCACAGAGTTCAAAAATTTTTTGACTGGGCCTCCTCTAGCCTCTGTCGTTGCTTTCTAGAAGGTCTCAGGTGCTAACCCGGGGCTTTTAGGTTGCACGCCATCCCCCCTGAGTGGGGGTGGCAGATGGACAGAGGGCAAACCTTGGCCCGTGCTGCACCGGCTGGCCGCCGGCGCCTTTTTCTTTTGCTTTTGCAGCAGCAAACGTTGGTGCGAGGCTGGCGGTCGCATCTGGTGATTTTGGAAGGCGAAGATTTTCTTCGCTTCCCAGCCCTTCTCGGGGCTGCTCGTACTTCAGGTCTGCTGCTGCTCTGCCTATCCTTTCAGGACTTCTCCAGCTTGCGTCTTTGCAATCGCGAGCTCTGGCGAGTTTTTGCTGAATTGGTGGATTTGCTGCGAGTGCAAGCTCGCCGCCTGCAGCGGGCTTACCTTGCTTAGGCCTACAGCTTTTGCTCATGGAGTTCTTGTCAGCCTCGCAGCGTGACTTCTTGCAACATATGCCTCCAGTGTCAGGGTCTTCTGACGCTGAGCCCTCAGGCCCTGTCTTGTCACGCCAGGCCTTGTGGTGCCACGATGCTAGCCATCCTTTGCGCCCGAGGGCTCGAGTGGAGTCCTTGCTCTTCTCTTCTGCTGAAGGTTTTCGCGATTGGGTTGATTCTTCAGTTCAGGAGCCCGAAGCTGAAACCTGGAACCGCACTCTTTGGAGTGCCCATGCGGCCCCTGCCCTGGAGGATGATGCTGCCTCCCTTGTGCCCAGCTGCTCAGGGGACATTTTTCAGGAGCGTGAGCGCGTAGCTGTTTACCTGGCCTTGTCGGGTGAGCGGAAAGCTGCGTTGTGCGGGTGGTGCTCCTCAGACACTGCTGTCACTCGTGTTTTGCCTTTTGTGCAGCTTTCGCAGAAGTCTTCAGCTGAGCCTTCTCGCGCCTGGCGAAAGAGACTTCTCGATTTGGAGGACGGCTTCGCTGCTCTCCGAGGCAGGGTGGACGATTTGGAAGAGCAGACGGGCGTCGTGCTTGGCCCTTCTGCTCGCAACTGCCATGCCAGCCGGCTGCGCCGCCTCGAGGCATATTGTGGTTTTGCTCCTTAGGGCTCCTAGTTTTCTGCTGCGGTCTGTTTTGGGGCAACGCCTTGGACCATAGCTGACGTCTCCTTTGCCATCTTCTGCAAAAGGCTCGCTTGCCTGCTTGCATTCTGTGTTCTGCAGTGCACATTGGTGCTGAGGAACTTGTTATCAGATATCTCCGTAGTGCTGGCTGTGTTTTGCAAGCTGTCTGAGCTAAACGCCATGGCCCTTGCTTCTGACTCAGAATCCTGTGAAGAAGTGGGTCAGGCGAGACAGGATCCTGACGCGGCACAGGCGTCTATTCCAGATCCTAGTGAACCCCTCGAGGAGGGTCAGGACCTCCAGGGTCTGGAATTCCGCAAGCATCTCGATGACCTTCTTGTGGAGTCGGAAAGGGCCGCTTTTAATCCTCTTGATGATGACGAGTGGGGGAACCTCGGTCCTCATGCCGAGGATGCGTGGTATGATGATGCTCGATGTGATGAGAATGAGAGCCAGGTCGCGGCTTCCTCCGAGTGGTCTTTGGTGGACTCTCAAGAAGCGGCGCCGAGGGTGCTCAAGTCCCCTCTCGATGAGAGAGATGTTCAGAGGGTCGCCGCCGAGCTGGAGAGGAAGCAAGCTGCCGAGTTAGTGCCTAAGCAAGTGTGGCAAATTCCCGGCCTCCTCAGTTATCCGTGGGAGACAAAGAAACCGTTGCGTTTGATTGGGGTGGCCGACGTGGCATTGTCCTCAGAGCCTAAGCCATCGGTGCCTGAATGCGACTTGAAGGTGAATCCCATGGTTCGGAAATACCTGAACCGAATGCCTGTCCAGAGAGCGGAGGAGGAGACAAGATCCCACGCTCTAAAAATTCTTAAATTCATGATCCTCTTTGATATCGAGGCTACGCAGCTGGGCCTGAGCCTTGCAAACTTGGTGGGAAGGGCCGCTGACGAAGACGAGGTCAAGCAGTCTTTCGTGGCTGCCTTTCGGATGAAGGCTACCAGCACACTCAGCAAGCGGGCCTCAGCTTTGTTGAAGTTCTTTCGATGGGCCTTGGGAGGTCGCATTCCCTCCCCGCTTAGCTTCACGGAGCAGCATTTGTTTGACTACATGAGAGTTTTCCAAGAGGGCGTGGGAGGGCCCACATCAGCGAGCCAATTCCTGGAGGCCTTGCGCTTCCTGCACGGGGTGGCAGTGCTTAGGCATGCAAGCTTGGAGGCATGCATAAGCGCCAGGGTTAAGGGCCTGGCGGCTGATTTGTACTTGACAAAGGCACCTTTGAAACAGAGAGATGAGCTCACCCTGAGAATGGTCGTGGCGTTGGAAACCATGATTCAGCTGGCGGTTGACCGAGACGCATGTATAGTGGGTCAACTGCTGTTCTGTCTTCATTCAGGAGCCAGGTGGACGGATGCCCAGCGCCTCAAGACGATTGTGACTCAAGCCTCAGGTGGTGAGATTTTTGTGATTGCGGAGGGGCTCACTTCGAAAACATCTATCACTCAGGAGGCGAAGACAAGGCTGTTGCCTTATGCGGCAATAGGGTCAGGCGTGAAACTTCAGTGGGCTACCCGTTGGCTGGAAGCTCGCCAGAACGAGGGTTTGCAGCTGGGAGAGTTCACTCTGCCAGGTTGGTCAGAAACTGCTGGCAAGTGGACTGGCCTGCCAATGCTGGCTGGCGAGGCGACGTCCTGGCTGCAAGATTTCCTTTTGAGGGCCGGCTTCGAGGAAGCAGAGGCGGTTAAGAGGGGGTCGCATTCCTGCAAAGCGACGTTGACAACGTGGACATCGAGGTGTCCCACCGTCAAGTTTTCCTCAGGCGAGCAGAGACTTGTCGGCCATCACATCAAGCCAAAGGACAAGTCGCCTCTTGTCTACTCGAGGCAAGCTTACACTGCCCTCTACGGGAAAATCCTGGCGATGTTTATCGACATACGTGAGGGTCGATACGACCCAGACCTCCCAGAGGTAGATCGTGTCATCGCGGCAGCGGCTGCGAATTCGTCCGAACGGCAAACCGAGCCCAGGGCAAGCCAGGATCCCCCCGCAATCAGGCCAATCGACGAGGCTAGCGGGGAAGAGAGTGGCTCGTCTTCCGAAGGAGGCGAGGAAGCACTCTCTGATGAGGATCAAGCCGCTGTGACGAGAGCACCTTTTGAACAGCCGGTGGACCTAAGTCTTGTGTATGTGCATCGTGTGTCAGGCGTTGTACATTGCCTGAAGGATGCACAAAGCCCGGATTTCTTTTGCGGTCGGAGCCTGAGCTCCGCATACATGAAATTCAGCCGGGCGGGCGTTGCGGCGGCAGACCCAGATTGCTGGTGCAAGCGAGCCCGCGACTAAACTTCGCAATCACAGCGGAGAATCATGAGACCATCTGGAAAAGCGGGTTGCTTGCCCTGTGAGGGTCCTTCACAGCTTGCCCTTCCGATGTGCAAATTTCTTCCAAGATTGCCATGATAACAGCCGCGAGTGAGGATCAAGCTCACTAGAGAATGCATCGAGCAGGCATTCTTCATCTCAGCTAATCTGCATAAGAGCTTGTTGGTTATGTGGCAGGATTTGATTGGCGTAAGGTGCCTGACTACTTTGCTACTCTGCAGAAGAAAATTTTTTATGCAAGTTTGTTTTAATGGCGTAGGGTGCCTGACTTCCATTGCACTAAGGCGAGCCTCTTGTTTAGCCGAGGCCCGTGACTTGCGAAAACATGGCCGGCGTTACCTTGGACTCCGAGGCAGCCTTCAAGGAGCGCGCGCTCAAAGTCGGCTTAACCTCAGCAAATCATGCCATTCTTGAGGGGGCAGGTTATAGCACCTTTGGGTCCCTTGCCTTCGCCGTGTCAGCCTCTCCCAACAGCGTGACAGAAGAAGAGGTGCGCGATTGGATTCGTACTGTCTTCACACCGCAGCCAGAGCATCACCAGGTTTCTTGCCTTCGTCGTTTATTATTTGAGGCCCAAGCCCTTTCAATAAGCGATATGAAGAACCGCGTGGAGCCGGCCAACGATTTCGTGACTAAAAAGATGCCAATTGCAGAACGATTGGCCAGGCAAAAGGCTCAGGAGGCCAGGCTCACAGGTGTGCATTTCTCTCCGGAGACCACGCCCGCCCATGGGGTTGTGGACCGCCTCGTGGAGATGCTAGAGACAGGTACCCTTGTGTATCTTCCGCCAGGGAAGTACTTGTCGCGTGCTCAGGAAATCCAGACGGCTAAAGCCGATAAGACTCTTTCGATTGATTCCGATGGCAACTTGAAGGTGACTTCCAAGCTGGATAAGTTTGAGCACTGCGACACAGGGTCCGAGTGGACCCTGCGGCAAGCGTGGACAAGGCGCAGCTTAGCTTTTGACTTGGCAGGTTTGGCAACTTTTCAGGCAATGGAGGCTTGGGTGCACCGCTTGTATGTGACACTGGAGCGAACGGCTTTTCCTGGCTACCACTCGGTGGCCCTCACCCAGGTAGTGGCTGCCGACCGCCACATGTTCACCCTGGCTGCATCAAATTTGTTGGGCTCCCTGGTTGCTGCCCCAGGTCGCGAAAAGCCTCTTGACGAGCAACTTCGAACCCTCAGCGAGCATAGCGAGGTCCTGCAGTTCTTGAGTCATTTGCCTATGCCTTCCTCAGCTTTAAATCCTTTGAAAAGGCCAGCACAGCCGCAGTCCCAGGCCAAGGCTAAAGGCAACGGCACCAAGGGTAAGAAGGCAAAAGGCAAAGGCACAGGCGGGTCAGTGTCCATTCCGGATGGGGCGGTGACCAAGCTTGGTGATAAACCGTTGTGCTTTGCCTTTAACTGCGGCACTTGCAAGTTCAAGGTTTCAAAGAAGGGCCGGTGCGGCCGTGGGTTCCACTTGTGCTGGTGGAAAGGGTGCGGCGGTGACCATCCGGGTCACGAGTGTACTCGTGCCCCGCCGGCGCAGTGACATGTCGCAGGGATGGCGGCGCACCCTGTGGTCTCTAAGTCGTCGCCAAGCCAAGCCCATGCCTTAGCCGAGCCTTCAGCCTCTCGCGATTTGCATTTTGTTGTTTCTAATTCGTCGCAGTGCCAAGCCAATGTCCTGGCTGAGCCTTCAAAGCCCTCTGCGCCTCTTAATTTGCACCCGGCTGAAGCTTTTGCCCAGGCTCTGTTGGCCCAACCTTCGGCAAGTCTTGGAGATTTGCTGAGGCTTTTCGATCTGTTGCCGCATGAGCCGGCTCCTGCTGCTGGACGTGCCCTGGCCCTGGCGGGGGGTTTTTCCTTTGGTTCCGGTGCCTGGGTGCATGGGAACCAAGTTGGCTTGCGCAACAACACTTTTTCTTTCCCGTTAAGCACTCGTGTTTTCACGCGGCATGTTGCGCGTCATGGCCCAGCACATTTTCAATTTTCTTCCATTGTGGTTCTTGACAATGTTTGCACAGTGGCTCACCGTGATAGCCACAACGACCCTTCCTCTCAGAATGCGGTGTTTGGCCTCTCTGACTTCTCAGGCGGCGAGGTCTGGGTGCAACGCGATGGTGGCCTCACCCCTTTTGTTGCAAACGGCAAGTCGCTGTTAGGCGATGCTCTCCCCACCCGTCCCGGCCCAGCAATCTTTGCAGCTCGGCACAATTTGCATGCGACTTTGCCTTGGTCGGGGCGACGTGTTGTCTTGGTGGCATATACGACCACTCAGCTGGACCGGCTGCTGCCTGACTCCAAATTTTTTGCTAGTGGGCTGGGCTTTGTTTTCACTGCTCAGCCTGCTGTTCCTGCGCAGGCGCCGCCGCCAGTCCTGAGCTCAGCTCCTACGTTGCCCGCTGCTGTGCCTGGGCAGGCTTCTGCAGTTGAGATTTTCAGTGGCACTGCCGTGCTCTCGCGGGCTCTCTTTGCCCAAGGCTTCTCAACCTTTTCAGTGGACCACCGGCCCCGTGCTGCACTTATGCCCACTGCACGCCTGGACCTGTGCGATCCAGCCCAACAGCAGCTGCTTCTGGATCGTCTCTGCGCCACTCTGCCTTCGGCTCTGCATCTGGCCCCGCCGTGTGGCGCTGCAAGTCGGGCCCGTGAAAAGCCCCTAGCCGCTTCCTTAAAAGCTCGTGGTGTCCGTGAGCCGCAACCACTACGCTCAGGTCTTCACCCTTTCGGTTTACCTACGTTGGCCGAGGGCAGTTCGGACGAGACTCGTGTTCGCCAGGCCAACAAGTTGTATGCTTTCTGTTTCAAGCTTGTGTGCTGGGCCCTGGATCGCTCTGTCGCCTTCACTCTCGAAAATCCTGCCGGGAGCCATTTCTGGGCTGTCTTCGCAGCCCTTGCCCGTGCGGACGCAAAGGCCTCCTGGCACAAGCACACCGATCTATGCTTTCAGGTCACTTTTGATCACTGTATGTATGGTGGCACGCGGCCCAAATCCACTCGACTGCTGACGAACTGCCCAGACATGGCTGACCTCACAGCCCGCTGCGACAAAGGCCATTCCCATGCCCCGTGGTCTGCTTGCTACTCTTCGAGCGGCTGGGTCTTTGCCACTCATTTGGAGGCTGCCTACCCCGTATGCCTTGCCGAAGCCATTGCCTCCCGTTTTCGCGCCCATGCTGAGCGAAACGGTGCTATCTTTAAGCCTAGACCGGACATGCAGCAGGCCTCCCTTGCCGTTCAAGGTCTGCAGCATCGCAAAGCTGCAGCTTTGCTTTCTGAGTTTGCGTATGTCCCTGATGTGCCCCGCTCGCAAGTGGACCCTGCTGCCATGAAGGTTCTTACGGCCCCTATGATTGGGATTCAAACGGGGGGCCTCCAGGAAAGTACAGTGCTAGAGGCGGCCGAGCCTCTCGACCAAACTGTGCCCCCTGGCCCTGACAAATCAAAACCCGAGAGTCCTTCTTTCGGGGGTAACGCGGGTTTAGTTAGGGTTGGGGTTTATAGGTCGCCTGAAGCTTGGGTGAATGAAGCCTTGAAATTGCAGCATCCCATGGATTCGGGAAATCCCGTGCAGGATGCTACCCTCCAGGCCATCAAGACCAACTTGACGACCGAAGCCCGTTTGCTTGTGCTCCGCCAGAAAATTGCCTGGACTAAAATTGAGATTTTAGCTAAGCAGCTCGAGGTAGAAGAGCAAGCCCTGCATCGCTCCAAGCCCGACTGGATGCAGGAGATTTTGCGAGGCAAGCGGATCTTGCTCTTCAGACACCTCTTGCAGCAGCACGGCTACGACGACATGGAGGTAGTCGACCTGCTCAGCGATGGCTCTCACCTGGTGGGTGCTTCTCCCAAGCCTGCATGCTTCGAAGCGAGACTTAGGTTAGCTAAGATGACTCCGGAGTGTTTGAGGGAAGCTGCTCCAGACCTCCGAGCGGCGATCGTTGCAAACCCCAGGAAGGTCAGCTCGGACGAGGCGGCGGCCCTTAAGCAGGTCACAGAAGAGGAGTGCAGGGCCGGCTTCCTGTCAGGCCCTTTTGCCACGGAAGAGGAAGTAACGCGCCACCTGGGCACCTCTCAATGGCTTGCCGTGAGGCGCTTCCTTCTTCAGCAAGGAGGGAAGCTCAGACCCATCGATGATGGCCATGAAGCCCACCTCAATGATGCTTACGGGTCCTCCACTAAGGTTGCAAGACAGCAATTACTTTGCAGCGATGGCAATGGCTATCGCAAAGATGGAGAAGGACTTAGGCGTAAGCATTCCTTGGGTGGCGAAGTGCCTAGACCTATCCAAAGCTTACAAGCAGTTTTGTGTGAGCGAGCGGGACAGGAGTCTTTCGGTCATTGTCATTTTCGATGAGGCGGGGGTGCCCACTTGGTACGTGGCCAACTCCCTTATCTTTGGTGCAGCCGCAAGCGTCTTCAGTTTCAATCGCATAAGCAGGGCAATCCACTTCTTGTTCACCCGAGCTCTGAATGTGGTCTGCTCTTACTTTTATGACGACTACCCGCTGCTTGCGAGGGCTGACACGGCCGAGGCAACGGACTTTGCATGCGGGAAGCTTCTTGACCTGTTGGGGATCAAGTTCGCTAGAACGGGGGGCGACTCGAAGGGCAAGCCCTTTGACAAGGTGTTTGAGGTGCTCGGGCTGAGCGTGTCGGTCGCCGAACTGCATCGGGGCTCGCTGGTTTTGGCTAACAAGCCCGGCCGTCTCGAGAGGCTTGTGGAGCTTTTTGGCCAAGTGAAATCAGACGGGGCCATCACCAAACACATGGGTCAGGTTCTGGTAGGCTTGCTGCGGTTCGCCGCAGGCTCTTGCACAGGCATGTCGCTCAAGCATGTTTGCGCCGACTTGAACAGGATGATTCATGCAGAGGCTTTCCCATCTTCCACAGAGTTTGCCAGGCTCTGCGACAAAGCTTTGAAGTTCCTTGGCGTGTCAAAGCCAAGGGTGGTTTGCGTCTCCGACCGCAAGGACGTCGTTCATGTTTACACTGACGGCTCCCTTGAGGATGGCCTGGCAGGCATCGGCGCTGTGATCTTGGACCCGTCCACGGGTTTCCAGCAGGTCCTGCAAGGTCAGGTCCCCAAGGCACTCATGCACGCCTGGCGCCTCGAATCCGGCGATCACCTGATCTGTCAGATCGAGCTTTTCGCAGTGTACTGTGTGAAGGTGCTCATGCCTGCTAGGCTTGAAGGCCGTCGTGTCATCTACTGGGTAGACAATGAGGCATCCCGCTTAGCTCTGGTCAAAGGGCAAAGCAAATCGCCAATCATGGACCGCATGCTGCGTGCACTGTGTGACATAGAGGACGGCATGCACTCTTATGCTTGGTACTCTCGAGTACCCTCGCAGTCGAACATCGCGGACAGTCCATCTCGGGGCGCAGGTGACGAGGTGGCAAAGGCATTAGGCCTTAAAACAGCTGAGAAGTTTCCAGAGACGATTCCCTGGCAGCACTTGTTGAGGGGGTGAACGGGTGCTCAGCGGAATCTTCACCGCAAACACTTGTGTGGAATCTTGAACCACTTTCTCCGAATGCCACATGTGTGGCATTTGCACCTTTAGCGTTCGACCCCGTTGCTCTGCTGGGAAAAACTCGACAACGTGAGTCCGTGCAGCGATATACAGGAGCATTTTATATACATGCACTCCGATATGGTATATATTCGAGGGCTTTTCATATTGTGCCCAAACTTATCGAATAACCAACGTTTCGTTTTCCCTTGGTTCTGGAGTTTGTGTGGAAGGTACGTTTCCGCTTGCGGATAACTCTTTCCACCTTAAACTACAAGGTCGTTTTATTTGGGGAAAATCTCTGGCCCCCAAAATGGCGAC